ACAACGTAGAACCTCATATATATATACATCGGTCACGTCGGTTCAAGTTGACATACACCATCACCACACACAGATGAAATTTTCAGGCCAAATCCCAGAGTAATACAGGTAGTAACAGTACCAGTACTAATAGGAAAGATTAGGTATTGAAGATGCAGTTTCAAAAGAAAATATAAATTAGCGAGATAAAAACACAAAACAAAAGTCATGAGGAATTTAAGAGCTCGGAATATGGAGGAAGACAAAGAACGAATGCAACTGCAACATTCCAAAAGATTTGAAGCCATGGCATTCAAAGTCTCCAACATCGGTTACTATAATCACACAGACCCTAACCCGATAGCCCAAATCTATTAACATGCCTCAGTCCATTTGTCGGTGACTTCATGAACTGATGTCATGTTCTGAATTGATCACCACTAGTTTTCTTTCGTCCCACTCTTACACCAGAAAACATCGACTGTCGAGATAGGCGATGGTTGGGCATACGAAATATGTCACAACCACCTTAGTTGTTAAACATTTACTACCTCGTTAGTTATTTTCCCTTCCTTACCTAGTACCTTATTACTAGCCCACGCATTGTTTACTCGATGGTCACAAAATACACGAGAAATAGATGATGGTTGGACGTAGTCGACAGGAAACCCATGGTCGATAGCATTCGATCTGCACTAATAAGGACTTGACACACATGACCTTGATCAGCATTCAGTGACCAATCAATAATGATTATACGAGAAATGCTTCAAAGAGATCTATGATAGAATACCAGAAACGTACGAATATCCTCTATATTTAATGATCATGTTTTTGCTTCCATAAAGTGGAACGGAAAGAACCACTGTGCAGTAAACTTATCTTTTGGCTGACAAACGGATATCTCGCTTACGCTACAAGTGGGTCAAGTTGGCAAAAGCTAATCGAGCATTTTGAATCCCTGTAGAGATTCGGTCAGACACCAGATCATCAGGACTGATAGAACTCTCAAAATAATGTAAGCGGTATATGCTTCCAACTTATTTATTCTCTGTCATTAATTCAGGCAATGACGCAAGTCAACCCTGAAGTAACATTTTACATTTGGAGGAGAAAACAGCATCCCAAACATGCTAGAATAGTTGCTTAAGGTGGTCAAAAGACCCTGTATTTTGTCAGTGTCTTCACCAAACAGTATCATCTCTAAAAACATATCTATGAAAAAAGTTAAATAAAAATGGGGAAAGAAGACAACCATGTCGAATACCATTTAAAGTAACCGATTCCGATGTCAGTTCTCCATAAGGTTTGACTGGACCAGTAGTGTACAAGCAGAGGGCGTGTACGAGGTTAATCTACTTCTTTGGCACGACTTTCAGTGTCAGACTGCCACAAATCCTCACAGTCAAACACCGCCATTAGGTCAAGGAATATAACTATATTCTGTTGTTGGAAAGTATCTATGTGTTCCACAATCTGCCGAAAGGTGAATATTTGGCCCATACATCCACATCCAGGTCTGAAACTAGCCTGGTTTTTTCGTGTCACACTCCATGCGCTCCAGTTAGAAGTTGAAATATTATCGAGGCTAATATTTTAGACACTATATAACTAAAAGTGATTCTTTTGTGACCGTCAGAAGAGGAGTTTTGTCCTTTGTAGAAGATTGGAAAGATCAACGATCGAGGCCAGTCAGATGGGATTACGTTCAATTTCCAGATTTTAATTTATTGGTGTCAATTCGTATATGTTTATTACAATGATCTCAGAAATAGGTTCGTGAAGCTTTGGTAATGGCGTTGTCTGTTCTTGGTTTTGATTGCTTCTGCCTAGTTGTTTTCCATTTGGTTACAATAACCAATGTTTAGAGACTTTGAATGGTTCAGGTGTATTCATTTTTGTCTCTCGTTTTCAGAAAGATTATAAGTTTATAAACTTCTCATAACTTTTTATTTCACCAATCCTTACTTTGTTCTGAAGTCGAATCTTCAATGATTATTCTTCTCTATTACCAACAATACTGTTATTTTTCCTGCTACTCTTGGATTTGGCCTAATAATTTCATCTTGTTGTGATCATACGGTATGGCAACTTGAAACGTTGTATTGATATGCATGGTTTTACGTTGCAACTGGATATTTTAAGAAATTGTGCCCTGTACATTTATGTCTGATAAATTAATAACCGGTAGTTTATTTCACATTTTTAACATTACTAAATTGATGCAATCGAGTTCGAAGATACAAATAGCACATTGAAGATGCAGTACTTAAAATAAGCTTTGTTTAGAAACAATACCGATGTTTACTAATCCAGTTTACAGGAATCAGTTATTAACAACGTATATACTGGCAAAACTGTCCATTAGTAGCTAAGATCAATACAAGTAGTAAGTATCTGTGATCGAAAAGACGACTAGATATAGATAATATGATTCGAGAAAATTAAACAATCTACAATCTTCCAACTACACTTTGTACTCCTTATTGGGGCTTTAGTGTATATGATCAGTTAACAGTTTGTTGGGTACAAAAGAGATGAAAATTATGAGAAATAGATTAATTATGATTTATATATTAAAAGTACCCAGTAGCTAAGTCGATAACGCGATGACGTTCGAAGCGAATGGTACTGGATTCCAGTTCCAGAGTGAACATCAACTCTGAAATGTAGGCACATCTAACTGACAAGTCTCAAATAGTCTTGGATTACACTACTAACCACTAACCATCTTTGCATATATTACCCAGTATTTGTTTATTAAATCTGGTTTTGGAAATATTAGCGAATATAAAAGTTGAATATACAATTTATAATTTCAAAGACATTAATCGTAAGAAAGCATAGATATTAAGAAAGTATAGAATATTCTTTTAATATAACATGAACATACCAATAATAGACACTTACAAGTTCCATGTTGCCATTTAACATTGATAAAATCACCAAAGCAGATCGTTAGAAGTTAATTGATTGAAAGTAGTGAGCATGACAAACTAATTAATCTCGGTCACATCCTATTTAACACTTATCAGTAATAGTGTGCCTGTAATCTTGAAGGGATTATGTTATATCTGACTGAAGTTTAAATTATGGATAATTTCTGTGAGATATTAATGAACTAACATTATATATACATTCCTATTGTATAACTATTGAGTAATTAGATTATGCATATTCATTTTATTATAGGCTTTATTTTGACCTACGAGACTATTAATGTACGATTTGTTATTCTTAAATTATACTCAATTTATTAATTAGTCTCCCACGTTCACAGCCACTTTTTGATTTGATCTTGTATAAACGTTATTTCTTATTTTATGGTGTAATGTAGTCTGTTTGACTGGTATATAGATCAAGTATGTTTGAAATGAATGATTCGTATAGTGGAAGCTGGTATTGATGTTCTGGACTCAACGGGTAGAGCTAGATAAAAAAAAGACGCTAGGCTGTTCATGCTGATCAATACATCATTGGATTCGTACAGTGCTGGGATTTCTGAAATCATATTCCAATAGGCTAGTATATCACGCGATAATTAGCCCGGTAAAAATCACGACAGATTACTGCTTCATGATGGTGGATTCAAATTCTCTTCACCATATTGTACTGCCTGAGCATGTTACTCAAGCCATGCAATTGGCAATTAATCAGTTGGTAGACAATGTCCATAGGCATGGAATGTACTATGCAAAGTACTTTTACAAGACTGACAGGATCTTGAGCTTACGTTCACTCTAGGTAGTGAGTAGTTAGAAGCAGTTCGGAAGTTTGTGTATCTGTGTATGTACTGGTGATGAAGTGTGTTGAGATCAATTAAAGTATAGTGAAAGCTAGACCGGCTTATATCAATCTGGGCCACCTTTCGTGCCTTCGTAATGTTAGTGCAGCTGTAAAAGGTCAAATCTTCAACGTGTCGGTGAGAGCAATTTTGCTTTATGCTTGTCAAATCTGGCCTTGTTTTCATTGTCTCCGAAGGATTGCTAACATCCAACGGCTACACCATGTTAGTACTGTACAGGTCTGGTATTATGTGTTCGGGTACATGGGCAATAAATTAATTAGTATCACTATCTTAAAAGATCGATTTCGGTGACATGAACATATTTTACGAATGTTATCCCAGAGAATTTCACGAAACCGAAGCTCCTGGGTTCGAGTTCTGCATACGAGATCGCGAATGTGCACTTTTGATGAGTCCTATGCAAGGACGAAACAGCTGTCTAGTGCATTCAGGTAAAGAAAAAGAATGAACTAAACATATATTATACAAATATTAATTATCATTTCTTTTGAATAAAAATAAAAGACAAACAAAAATAGGAAAAGAAAAACAAATTACTGTTTTCATCTATTGATGATGTCATCAATATATTGATATCTATACAAATAATGATCATATTTTTTGAAAGACTATATGGTGAAAAAAAAACATTAAATGATTATTCAATAATTTCTCTTTTAAATGAATATAAATCTAGAAAGAGAGAGAGAGGGGAGAGGAGAGAGACAATACATTCATTCTCTATTAATTAGTTGTTATCATAACTCCGCCTGTAGCATTTCTCGAGTTACTACCGGTCCCAAGCTCCGGTAAAAGAGAAGGGTTGGGTATGGGGTTAGCAACCATATCTTATAGAAAACTAACTCGATAAAAAAAACAATGCTAACCAGAAAAGTAGTTGTAATCAACAAACGGATAGAGAGAGAGAGAGAGTGAGGGAGAGCGGGAGTGGGAGAGAGATTGTTGAAACTATACATATTACATCAGCATAATAAACAGGAAATAACATAAAAGATTGAAATAAATTGTAATAGAAAATGATAAATATAAACATTTAAACATTGGAAATAAAATCATGAAAACCACTGAATGGTTTTATGTATACATAATTAAATGCTGGAATTCAAGATTATAAACAACAACAAAAATATCTAAGCTATCATAACTGATTCCTAATCCTTTTAATTAACCTCTTCAATTGTTGATTATAATTTGATCATGTGAATAATCTGAACTACATAGTAGTGGCAGCAGCAACAGCTGTAGTAGTAGTAGTAGTAGTAGTAGTAGTAGTAGTACTAGTAGTACTAGTACTAGTAATGTAAGTAGCCTGTATAGACCAACATGGTTGTAGATTACTGTAGAAAACAAACGATAATTGATCTCTATAGGAGATTACTTGATTTGTCAATGATATGAGAAAAAAAAAAGTATCTGATAAAACAAAATAGAAGAATAAAATAATACATTTATATATAAATCATATGGTAAACAAATAGTGATATGACTATAATTGATGGACGACATTTAAGGGACATTAAAAAAGTCATCTTGAGTATATTCATCCTACTAACAAAGACTAAGTGAGGTTTATAAACCAGTGTGAGGAATTACAGTTGATGGTTAAGGTTTTCATCACTAACTGATATAATCTATAATGCCAAAACATTATTTAGCCAAATAAAGGAATGAATTCTGCACCAAAATAGAAGATCCGTTGTGGTGAACAGAACACAAGTGGGGGATAATCGAATGTATTTAGGTACATAATTACAGAGCATCTCAATAAAATCTGAGAACCATATATTAAATCATTAATTTCCAAAATATCAATCCATCATATCAAACTGGACTGTTCCTGTTGCAAACATCAATCCATTGTCTCAGATTTCATTATTCATGCGTTTTCATACAAATTCCATTGTGTTCCCGCTCTTCCTTTCTTGATCTTCCCCCATCTTCTGCTGCCAGACATTACGTTCCTAACTCGCGTCATATACTACTTATATCAATATAAGTAGCGCACATCACACTCATCCCCTCTTTAAAAGCAGTGTTTCTTGTGTTGGTTCTGCTCGTCGTGCAACATTCTTATTTTCTGCAGTCTACGCTACGCCCTCATTTAGTCGTAGTAAGTAGGCAAACACTCTCATGGTCACTTTGGCGTCTCTCAAATATCATCCATAAATTATAGTCTCATCCCTTAATTAAATTAATGATAACCGTTGAATCAATTAATCTTAAGTAATAATCAGCTTAATGTATTACAAAAAAAAACTAAATATTAATCCGTGTAAATTGTATAGAAATTTAATGTAATCGAAAAATCATTGTAATTTAAGATGGTGGTTGGAGATAGTCAACAGGAAATCCTGGACCCGAGTTTCCTGCTACTTGCCACTCATCAACAAGATGTATATGTAATCTTGATGGAACTGATGCTTCCTAACGGATTCAACCCCGTGTCAACATGCTTCATTTATTTATTTATTTTATTTTAACACATAAGTATAGGTACAAGGAGGCACCAAATACATATGCGCCACACAAATCTCAATTGATTTGTGTGAGGGCTGTGATACTGCCCGGGTGCCCAAACCGAAGCAGGCAACATGCTTCATAATCAGAGATGTTATCATTGGGTTATTTAGACCTTAACTGACCACTTGTAGGACTGAGATGTATTTACAATTGATTGATCACTGGGTGGTGATCAATGTCATATGTGACAGGTCCTTAATGCAGATCAAATGCTATCATTCAGTCAGCTAAAATGTAAGATCAGGCACATATATGCATCAGTCAAAGTTGCCATATCTCATTAGCACAACAAGAATAATACTGAATCCATAAAAGTAGCTAATTCAACGGTGGTACTATATATAAAAGAAAGATTGCATAGAAAGAAAGATATGAAGCAATTTTAATCTCACAATTTAAGGGAAGATAAATACTATCGACCAAGTTACAATATGGTCACTAGTCTAGGTGATTCAACATAGCATTCGATCTGCACTAAATAGAACTTGACATACATGACATTGATCACCATCCAGTGATCAACCAATTGTGAATACATTGTAATTTATTTTGTGGATTAAATAAATCCACTGCCAAGAATGAAATAACAAGAACAATAGAAGCTATTTTTAGTAACATTATTTTCTATTTCCTTCATTCAGAGTTTTATTCCTGTTTTATTCAATAAATCGTAAGCTTTTGTTTAATATAGAAATCACTGTTATAATCGTTGTTTTCTATCGCTGCAATTTTAAACAATCACTTAAATAAGCAAGATGGATAGTGGTGAGCCGGGGAATCCAGGACGCGCGTTTCGTCCTAGTTGGGACTCATCAGCTGGATGTACCTTCATCTTAGAGTTTATGTTCACTCTGGGACTGGAACCCAGTACCATTCGCTTCAAACCCCATTGCGTTACCCACTCAGCACTGAGTCCTGATATCCACTTCCTATGGGAAGATACAAGCAAAACAATACCAAGTGAATCACCTTAATGTTGCATTGATTCTATTCTAATGACCTAACTTGGACATAATTGTATTTTACTTAGATTCAGAGTGTTAACCGCTACGCCACCAAATGCCCCGGTACGGCCGAGAGTGGGGAGAGTCCACTCTCACTCTTTAAATGCTCTCACATGGCCACACGTATATAGCCTCTGCCAGGGAAGTCCTACTCACTGGCAAAGCAAAAAACAAATTCAGAAGGATCAACAGAAAAATGCAAAATGTTTCTCATATCTAAACTATAAAGCAAAAAAAGAGGAAAATATGCATAGGATATATGATCAAATAGTGTAAAGTATTTAGTTAGAGTTTAATAATGACTAACAATGACATTTAAGGCATGTGTTGCAGCTTACTTAATTGAGAATTATAGACTGAATGTATCTGCCATAGTCCAGTGTTAATGTTTACTTTGAGACTTGAAACTAATGCCTTCTGCTTAACTACTGAATTCAGATAGCCACTGGATTGTGTAATGAGGATGAATTGAATTGAGGATCAATTGAATTAACCTTCTATTTTATCCAATAAACCACTTTAACAAACTTGGATGGATGAGGAGAGGTTAGAAGTGAATAGAGCTATAGTAATATGATATCACTATTCACTTGGTTTTGTTTGGCTTGTATCTTCTCATTGAGGTTTAGGACTGCAATTGATCAGTTTGTTATTGGTATATGAAGCGAATGGTACTGAGTTCGAGTCCCAGAGTGAACATCAACAAATCTGAGATGCAGGTACATCCAGCTGACGAGTCCCAAATAGGACGAAACGTTCGTCCTGGATTCCACTGCTAGCCACTATTCATCATTGCTTACTACAAAATGATATCACTATTGTTTTTAAATCTATCACCCTATATCTACCTTATCCATAAGAAATATAATATTACTATTATGACCTTTAACAATTCGTCTACAATTGTCTGCATATTTATTTTGATTATCTCTTCCTTTGACCTAATTACGTAATCCTAGATTCTTCTTTTATTGGTTACTAAAATGGATTGGTTTCAATGTGTTTTTATTGATCATTAATTAAATGAAATGCCAAATTTCTAAAAAAATTCTCTGATCTTTTTTATTATCTCTATTCAAAGTTTCAACATTTTGTCACATTTGAAAATGTATCCATAATCATCCATGTAAATTGATATAAACGAAGATATATTATAGAGTTCAACAGTTAACCGGTATTCATATAGATAAAGAGGAAGAATAGGTCCGTTATATCAGATGTATAGTGTTTCTTTTAGTTAGAATAGTTTATTTTGTGAATGATGTGTTGACTTTTCTTTTGTTTTTACTATTCCATCGTTTGGTTTGTGTACGATTGGTTGAAGTGAATTTTGTTGGTTTATATGCTTATATACCTATTTCAAATGACCTTGTTGCAATTTCTGACATGTCTTTTTTATTGGATAGAATTTTCATTCGATTCTACAACTTCAAATGGCTGGATTCCCAGACCACAATATATACATACACTTATTCCACTGGTTGAAAAAAAGCTGACGTTGATTAAAATCTGAAGACTGTCGAAGCTTCACGGAATATAGGTATATATAATCCCACAGGCTTTATGATTGACTGATAACTGGACGGTGAACACTATAATGTGTGTTAGTTCCTCATAAGTATTGGTTGAGTTCTGTCAATCAAGTAGAAATATGGTCACTAGTCTAAGTGACTAGACATGGCATGAACTATGTTGAGATGTAGAGTAGTGGGGTTCGGAGGTAGTCGACAGAACATCATAATTGACATATTTCTCCGTTTTGGTTGGTGCTCTTTAGGAAGGTGTACTATTGATCTTGATAAAACTAACATGTGTGACCAAGCTTCATAATCCGAGACGTTACCACTGAGACATTCGAGCGACGCGACTGACCTTCAGCCGAGTAATGACGGCTTTGAATATAACTCTCTGCAATACAGTATTCAATCCACCAAGGAGTATCAGTTCCCTCAATATTACAGGCACATTTTGTTGATGAGTGCTAAAAAACACGAAACTTTGGTCCAGTGTTTTGTTTCTACTACCTTTGATCATCATCTCACATAATAATACAGTAAAATTACTGCTGTGTGTAACTTACATTTAATCATAAAAAACTCGTAGAAATAATCAATATACAGAATAAATAGAGATTTAGATGATCAGTTCAATATGGAGAAAAGAATATTGACTACAACAGTACTCATGACAGCCTGCCAATAGTATGCGAGTAAAATAATTGAGGACTAAAATTTTGTTTACTTATAAGTAATATATATATATAACTAGACATTACAAACTCCACAGTGCTCTTATGACCACTAGTTTTCGAATTAGTTTATTTTATAGATGTTTCCATGATTTGAAATGACTTCAAATTATACTAAACAGTAGAATAAATTTCAGATAGAGTCACACATTAAAGGCGTGAAATTCAACAAACAAATTTAAGTTCAAATATATTACGATTCTCCATTGTCAGTAGTTTCTAGTGATTAGTGAATTTCACAGTTTACTTTATTTAAAAAAAAAACTACTTGACATTAGGAATCATTGGAAAGATATTTTGCATTAGTTTTAGATATCTTAATAAAGCTCATTCATAATCTCAACATAGCGGATGCATCCAGTACAATTAAGCCTCAGCAATCTCTACAAAACATCATACTAAAAATATTTATGTGCTTACTGATGACTAATACCGTGAAATGATTTTCTGAGTTCTAGTGATAAGCCGTGACCAGTGGAGTACATTCATGTCGAGTGTTAACCAGTTACTCATTGATGACACTGGGACATCATCAGAAAATAAAATCGAAGTAAGTGATGTTAGATATGTGAATACTTGAATATCGGCTTAGCAGTTTAAAGGTTAAGCGATTGTTTAGAGACCTGAAGATTCTGGGTATGATCTAGTGTGGTAGGGTCATGGATTTGCATTACTAAAAAACTGCATACCAGAGCAAGATAGATGACCAGTGACTTCTGGTTTTCAGTGTTTGTGTAGCTAAGATCAGACTCTGATGTAAATCATAAGGTCGTTTATTTATTACCTGTTTCTACTCAAAGGATACTTGCACCCTAATGCATTACCAGTCGGAATTTAGGCACTTTTGCAAACCCTTAACAACCCAGTTACCCTTTATAGTAGTAATATCTTGTCACTTACACACCGTTGTTACTACCTTGACGTGGTGGTCGGGCTTGCATATCGTTATGAACCAATCGAAGTATACTGGCTAGAACAACTGTTTCTCAAAGTCCTACCATGCTAGACAGGTCGGTTGAAGAATGGTAAGACTAAAAGCAGGAAACACAAGGTCCGAGGGTGAAGTCGTAAAGCTGACTGTACAGAAATGTGACAGCAGTAAAGTGTTTCCTTCAGACAACCAGCATAACAGCGATACTGCCTTCCCACAAGGAGAGGTGGAGTTAGAAAAGGTCGACCCTAAAATGCACACCTCGCCTTATCCCACGGATATCCGCCTCCGGCGGTAAGGTCTCAACAAGTACGCAGCTAACATGAAAATTACTCGCACAAAGGTCGTATGTGACTGACCTCAAACAGTTGTCCTTTGGGTCACGCTCTCAGGTCACTAAGATCACCTTTCATCCAATTTCCTTTTCAGATACCTCCAGAAGAACCCTTCCACGGTGTGCGCAACCGGGAAGTGAAAACCCCCTTCATACTTCCAAAAGCACTCAAGGTCACTGACTGACTAAGAATTAAAATTTAAGACTAATATGAGGGTAATAATAATAAATTTTGGATCGATTGATGAATGAACTTAATAAATCAAGTGAGAAAATAACCAGATAAACAAAAAAAAAAAACCGAATAAAATCATAATGAAAATTGTAATAAAAAAGTTACCATAGTTGTCAACTGACCTACCAAAAATTTCCATAAATATTAAAAAAAAACATGTAAGACATATTCCAAATGTTTCCATGGTATTATTTCAATGTTGATATGTGTTTACGTTAGAATTGATTTCAACAAATATCTAGAAATATAAAGTAATCAGTGAAAATATATTTAATTATTATTTGTCAAGTGGAAGTAGTACATAAATAAAAATTGAATTAAATTAATTGATCATTCAATTACTTGTATATGAGATCAGTTAGTCAGTAACAGCGTAGAACTTCGTACGTACGTACGTATATCAGTTCGACTTGCTATACCACATTAACACAGAGATGCAGTTGTCGATTCAAATCCCGTAGTAGTAAAGGGAGTAAGAGTATAAGCAGTACTCGGAATATGAAGCATATAGTTCAAGTACGAGGTCTAGTGTTACTAATTATCTGGTTACTTAAATCGGAGTAAATGAAATGTGATTTGAACATTGAATTTAGTGACTGAAAGTTGAACTTTTTAACCATTAACTCACTACTTTATAGGTTAGAAAGAATAAACTATTCAATGAAAATGAAACTGAAATAAATTGATAATTATGAATGGAGGAAGGATTGTGAAGATAATCATAAATTTGATAAGTTAAAGTATAACGAATTTACATAGGCCGTTGTCTGTATGAGAATACTTTGTCTTTTTAATAAAAAAAGAGGAGAATTTGAATTGTATGATCCCCGTAAAGAGAACATTTAAAAACTGTCCAAGAAAACTTAAGGTCAATGCCCCCCCCCCCAAGAAAAAAAACAGACAAAAATAATTATCCAGCCATTAAATTTGAACCAAACAACATATGACAAACTAGAAATTACGTAATATGTGGATATAGTAGATAGATGTTCTACTTATAAGGTGATCAAACAACATGTGTCAAATGATATAATGGTTATAAGATACCAGTCATGAATATGAATATATGGATATTATTATTCTATCTTACAACTGATGACCAATATCAAGTGATAGAACCATCTATCAGAAATCAATTTTTTATAAGTTAAAGTTCCTGAGTTAACCAGTCCTAGTAACTTTTAGTTAATTACTAGTACCTAATTAATCCACGATATTCAAGCTTATCACACTACATAACTTCTTGAATCTAGAACGCAGTAATCAACCTGTACAAAAAAGTATTCTATTTCAAACATAAATGGTTTATATACAGACATATCAAATCATAAAATGCAAAAAATTTCTTATACATGATCAAGTTACAAAGTGGATATTAGTAAGGGAAACTATGAATAATAAACTGGTAACAGATTAAGTGTGTTCAATCAATCGACAGTTGCTAATTGGTCAGTCGGAAGCTTGTGATATAACGAATATATATATAATCTAGTTATATAATAATTATATAACAATAATAATTAATTAATTAGTCCAGGAGGTTACTATTCCTTTAAACTTTGTTCGGATATAAGAATGAGTAAGAATAACAAAAAAATGGCATTCTATTGAGTGAATATTTGGGCTACTAGTTCCTCTCCTACTATTTAGATATTTCAATAAGTTATCTGTTTTCATGTTTGTTATAATACATCATTATGACTATTGGTTTCATAACTTATTCAGATGCATTTGTCAAAAGTTTACGACCTTTCACTGTACAAGTTGAAAAAGAGCCCAATCAGAGACATTATCGATGTTGGCAATATGTATGGCAAAGGATATACATTTATCAGATGTCGATTCCTGAACCGGTAACATCAAACTGACGATCATTCAATACTTATCACAAGGATTGATCAAGAAATAAGAATATTGAATAAAGCCAATGATAACAATATTCTTGATTATGTGTAATGAAAAAATCTCTTACAAGTTACCTCAAATTGTATTGTAAAATATATTAGCAATTTAATTTATTATTTATGTAACTGTCTTTAAGTAGTTTACTTGCCCTCAAATGCCCTGGTACGGTCGAAAGTGTGGAGAGTCAAGAGAAATACTACTGATTGTCTTCTCGTACCACGGAGGTGTTGTTTAAGAAATTGAGAGGATGAAAAGTGAATGTCCAGTGCTTTAATTGGGTCGGTGGATATGGAGGATCCATCTAGGGGAGTTAGAAAACCCTCATTCCAAACCAATGGTGTACATGGGCTCCAAAATCCTGAGGTAACAAATAGTGTATAAACCAGTCGTGGGTCGCCGGCTATCATAGGAGTGTATCTCCTGACGTTGCTCTACTGCCTTGTGGATTAGACCTTCAGGTCAAAGGCTCGGGATGTGGCCTCCTAAGAAAACCACCTACTTCAGTTTGGACACTAAGGCAGTATTTTAATCCTCACACACATCGAATGTTTAATGTGGCGAATATCTGGGTTAGTGCTTTCTAGTACCTATGTTTATGTGTTTAAATAAATAAATAAAAATGATGTTAGTCTCACAACATTCAACAATAATAGGCAACTACGTATTCATATTATTTTTTTTTTTTTGAAGAATGAAGCAAAATTATATTAAAAACAATGCCTAGTGTCCAAAATTAAGTTCACTTCGTTGCTACTCGTTCATAGCGCTATTTATAGAGTGATAAAGATGGAAGCCTAAATTATGAATAATTTCGAAGATTATATTGTAAATGAAAGCAACAACAACAACAACAACACACAACTTAGTTTTACTCCATTAGTTCTCTTTATTTGAGGTATACGTGTTTGGATTAGTTGATTGTAGAGTCAATTAATGACTGTTTCCTTTAATTAAGTGACATAACGATAAAAAAAATCTTAAATCCTATTGATTCATCCTAATTCATTTATTTCAATGTTAAATGGTACACATAGCAACACAAATAATTAATCACTAGGTGTACATAACCAAGTTCTAAATAATAATAAAATTCGAATAGGTAAATGTATATTATCGACATTTAATCAAATAAATAGATGAAAGTTTATGATTAGGAAAATATAAACTAGTTCTTTAATAAATCGAAAAGTTTTGGAATTTTTTAAAGTATCCAATTTTATGGAACACAAAAGATTAAGTTTTTGATTTAAGATCATGAAGTGATTGATGTTAGATCACCATTGAAAACTTGGAACCATTAGACGGCCGTTTTGTCCTATTGTGCGATTTCTCCGTGGCAGTGCGCATCTATAATCTCACTAGCGAGATCCGAACCCAGGCCATTCAGTCTCGCGCGAGAATGCTTAACCTTTAGATCACTTAGTCGGCATTCAACGGTGTTATTGTCTAACTTCAACCTATCCACGAAATGATTAGTAAAATATTGAGCTATGGATTTATGATTGATGAAGTTGGTGTTGTGAAGTACATGTATATATATACTCCACTATACAGTTACTGTGAAAATAAAAGGCATACTATAAATGTAATTATACTGAAGATCTCAAATTATATATGCAAGTGTTTATATCTATTCGACTCATGCATGGTTAACTACTACAATTCAATAATATTTTCCATTAAAATAATAAACATTTGAGTTTTATAGTTTATATTACGGATTGATTGTGACTGGACAAACATTAAAAACCAGAAATTATTGAACGGTAGTATTGTTCAAGAATAAGACTCTAAAAATATGTCAGTTCATAACTTTATAAAAGTTCGAACTCAAAGCCATTACATCTCAGTGAATGGTAAACCTTTAAACCTGTAAGGCATCATTCACTAGTTTAAATGTCAAAACTCAATCAATTTGCGATGCCGCCTGATGAGTTTTGAATGCGTACTGATGGATAGCTGTCTCATACCCAAAATGGTGGAACTATACTGACCAAGACTTCTAAGTGAAATTCTTAGAGTTACCTTTCGTGGACAGGATTATGATCAACTGAAGTTAACTAAAATCAAATAATTCTAAAGTTTAAATTGAGATCATGAACCGGTCAATGTGAGACCACCATTGAAATCCTAGAAGCACATAAGACCGTTTCGTCATAGTATGGGGCCCCTCAATACCGCGCATCCACGACCCCGGATGCGGGATTTAAACCCAGAGCCTTCGACCCCGCACATTAACACATTCGGATGTTAACTCAGTGATCCAGAGTTCTCGTGTGAGGCCGAAAGTCTTGGTTTCGAAATCCGTGTCCAGGATCGTGGGTGTGCACTGCTGAGTAGTGCCATACTAGGACGAAACGGCCGTCCTGTGCCACCAGGTTTTCAATGGGGGCCTAACATTGATCAGAACACAATCGATTAAAACTCAACAATCTTTCTTTACAGTATTGAGCGTCCACTACTTTACAAAGCAGATCGACACTACATCCTTCAGGTTTCACGAAGAATGCACTCTTTAAATCACTGAGATGATATTTGATAGTTAACGTGTCTAAATTAATCAATTCGCGATATTACCCGATCATTTCTCACATACAACATTCTTGAAATTCACTGGTTAAGGCTTCATATTGGAACCCCGAGAACTATCTATCAAAATTAGTCCCTAGCTAATCAGTCATCTACAAAGCAGAATGAGGACCATAAATGCATCGTTCCATATCGCCATACCTCACTAGCAAAACAAGGTGAATACGAAATTCATAGAAGTAGTCACTTCAATGGTAGTAATGTATATAAATCAAGATTGCATGTAAGAATATGACGCAGAGAGAAAGGATTAGTTCATAGAAAGAAAGGTATATCGTAATTTTAATCTCATAGTTCGATGGAAGTGTTTTATACATCTACGCCATTGTGATCGATTTTGAACCGTGTCATTCAGTAGCTATGATAGATATGAAGATATCAACCAAGTAGTCTGTATTTATCAACATGGTTCATACAAGAAGTTAGTGACTTTATGAAGTGATACCACTTACTGATTTGGTGAACCCTAACCTTTTTCCATCCATCTTTAATGAGAGAATCTTATTAATTGCATTTAAACTAAAATGACAAATAAAAAAATAACACAAAATCCCATATAACCTCTATCTAATTTCAAGTTTGTATATTTATATTACTGATAGAATGCAATATCTAGCGATATCGAACACTATTCCATTCACTTAG